CGTGGGAAGATCTGTATGAACTGATACTGAGTGAAGTAAACAAAACCAGGAGGTTGTTGTACACAGTAACAGCATCCTTGTAATGATGATCAATTGTAAAACACTTAGCTACTCTGATAATACAATGATCAAAGACAATTCCAAAGGACTCTTGATGAAAAATGCTATCCACCTTCAGAGAGAGAACTGATGAACTCAGAGTGCAAACTGAAGTATAATTTTCTCACTTCCTTTACGTTTCTTGGTTTTTTTTTTTGCAGCAAGACTAACATAAAAATATATTTTACATGATTTCATATGTGTAATTGATATCATATTTCTTCCCTTCTCAGTAGGGCTGAAGGAAGGGAGAGAATCTGGAAATCAAAAAATTTTTAATGTTAAAAGTAAAGAAATAATTTTTAAAATTTTTGAAAGTAATCTGACCATTAAGTGATTAAACGGAATTGGAGAGCAGGGGATCCCTAAAATTAAGATGACACAATCAATGGAGACTTGAGCCAGTGGCAGAGACTAGACTTTCCTAAATCCCCTTAAGAGTGCTAAAGAATTGGCAGGGGGGGGGGGGCGGAGAAGGGAAAATGTAACAGACCCAGCCTTCTGGCAATGCAGACCAAAGTGTTACTGGTATGTAAGTAAGAGTGCATCTAGTTGCATTTTATGCCCTGATATCAGCAGGCTCATATAAACCTCATAGCAGTGTACCAAAAGAGCTGCCAGGCACTATTCTTGAGTATTCTCAATGATCTCTGAAAGATCACATGAAGCAGAAATACTGCAAAAATTGGCCCAATATTCACAAAGGGAACAGAATCTGTAAACTATAGATAACCAGGGAATCAAATGTCATTCTCGGCAAAATTCTAAAAAATTCTAAAAAAGTTTTATTAAAAGGATGGTTAATGAATGTCTAGGAAAGACTGTAGCCATTACAAAAAACAGTGTGGTTTCATTTAAAACAGATCATACCAGTTTAACTTAATTTCCTTTTTCTGAAACTATTACTAGACTAGTAGATCAGAGATTTGCTGTAGATACAGTTTACCTAGACTTTGGCAACACATTTGACAAATCCTTGTGAACAAAATTTAGAGATACAGGCTAAACAATAGGTGACTGTACCCAAAGAGTTATTAAAGTTTGATGTCAAATTTGGATATAGGTCTCTGGAGGAGTGATCCCAAAGATCTTTCCTTGGCCTTGTGATGTTTACCATTTTATTCATTGGTTTGGATAAGAAGAGATGACATGGTTATCAAATTTTATAGCTAAGAAGCTAGGAGGGGTAACTAACCTATTACTGCATGACAGAGCCAAGATCTGAGAAAAAATATTTCAACAGGCTAGAAGTCTGGGGCAAATCTAATAAAATGAAATTTAATAAGGATAAATGTAAAGCCTTAGATTGGGGTTCAAAAAATCAATTCCTTAAGTATAAAATGGAACAGAGTGGTTAGACAACATTGCATCTGAAAAAATGATTTATAGGTCTTGGTGGCCTTCTAACTCAGTATGACCCAACAGTGTGATATGATGGCCAAAAAACTAAAATTGTTTTTTGGGGGGTGGAGGGGATCTGGATCTACTAGTTTTTAGGATTTCATTAGTTTGAGTATCTCTCAGTATAGAAGTTCTCTGTGGACACAGATCAGCAAGTCACCAGCAGTTTGTAGTCTTAGAGTTGCCTGGGTTAAGTGATTTGTCCGTGGTCTCATGGATAGCATGTCATGGAAGGACTTGGAACCAGGTTTTCCTGATTCCAAGGCTGTCACTCTGTCCAAATATCACATTGACTCTGAATATTATTTGAGGCTGAATTAAGAGAGGAATGGTGTCCAGAATTAGGAAATTGGTCATCTTCCTGCACCTTTGTGGAGCTACTTATACTCTTCCTTTTATTTGCTCAGGCTTGGTTTCAATACTGTCCAGGGAAATTAATCCTTCAATATTCCATAAATTCCCATTATTCTCATCAGTGATACAAAATAAAGCACATGGAGCTCAGGACCCTGGCCCATCTACCTTGAAGGCTTAGCAAGATGTTGACCTCCAGGCAGTGCAAAGTGGGCCATCAAATCCATAAAACTAAACTCCAAGTCAGTAAGGATACTCAGCATTTTTTAGAGTTTGGTCAAGTGATTTAGGATGGACAAAATTTCCTGTTGCAAGGAGGGAGTAGCTTTCTTCTTCCTTATCTAGTCTCATTGACCCCCCTTCTCTCCTCTGGACATATAGGAATGGCTGTTGGCAATAACTCTTTTCCTCAGAATGCTTCCTTAGGGCTCATGTGGTCACTGGAGTCCTGGACCAATGGCATCACTTGCCAGGAGATCCTTAGGAAATTGTGTTAATGCCTGATGGTGCTCTGTGAAGCCCTTCAGTGTCTTGTTTTTAAAAATCAGTGTTCTTTTAAATAAAGAGAGGCTGTGCTGCCCTTTTTATGGTTTAAAAAAAGGTCACATTCTGTCTGTATTAGGGTCAATTCTGGAAGCTACATTTTAGAAGGGACATTGATAAGCTAGAAAGTGTCCAAAGGAAGGCAAGCAGGATGTGGAGTGCCTACAAGGTCAAGCCTTATGAGGATTGTTTGAGGGCACTAGGACTGTTTAGTCTAGATAAAACACAGTGGCTGACTTCAAATATTTGAAGGGCTGTCATGTGGAGAAGAGATTACTCTTGTTTTGCTTGGCCCCAGAGACGGAATTGGGAGCAATGACAGAAACCACATAGAGGCAGATTTCAGCTTACTATAAGGGAAAATTTCCTTAACAATTAGGAAGGAAGGAAGAACAGAAGGAAGCAAGCCCTTCTTAAGTGTTTACTATGCACCAGGCATTATGCTAAGTGCTGGGGATACAAATTCAAGCAAAATGAAAGACAATCACTGACTTCAAGGAGCTTACATTCTAATGAGTTAGAGCTACTAGGGTGATTCAGGAGAGAAATGGGGTAGGGAATTTCACCATTACTAGAGGTTTCCAAGCTAGAAGGCTAAATGTCCATTTGTTGGAGGAGAATGCTTGTTCTGGTATGGACTAAATGGACTAGAAGTCCTTTGAGGTCAACTTGGAGATGCTGTAATTCTGATTCCATCCTTACCATCATTATTGATGTTCACATTTATCCCCCTATCTTCCATGGAGTAGCTACGGGGCGCAGTGGGTAGAGTACCAGGCCTAGAGTCAGCAAGACTCATTTTCCTGAATTCAAATCCATTCTCAGATACTTACTAACTATGTGATTCTGGGCAAGTCACTTAACCCTATTTGCCTCAATTTCTTTATCTGTAAAATGAACTGGAAAAAAGAAATGGCAAACCACTCCAGTATCTATCTATGCCAAGAAAATCCCAAATAGGGTCAGGAAGTGTCAGACGTGACTGAAACAACTGAACAACAACCACAATCTTCCACAGATAAAGTAAAAATAATTAGGTCCTCTGCGTGCAGCCCTTTGCGTTCTTTAAAGGAAGATACTCTCTAGGTTTACCTTTAATAGCACTGGAGAGATGCTGATTTCTGGGATGAGAAATCACCACACTGGCAAGACTTCAGCATTGTAGAGAGTATTCATAGCTCACATCTATTAAGGTTTATAGAGGAAGACTTTTATAAAGAAAACAACTGTCTACAAATGCAAGGAATGTTGGAGGTGGAAGGGCCATTAAGAAACCACTTGCTCTAACCCTCCTATTTTACAGATGAGAAAACTGAGACCCAGAGCATGGGAATGTTTTGCATAAGATCACACAGTTTGTTCAAGGCAGAGCTGGGCTTATAATAGGTTCTTCGTTGTTGCTGTTGTTATTGTTAAATTAAATTTTATTTTGTTTTCAAATAAATATCCACATTCTCTCCCTCTTGCCTCCCATCTTCTGCATTGAAAAGAAAAAAAATATATGACTGGTTCCTTGTATGGCACTGCCCAGCCACAAAGTAAAACTACCTGAACACAGTCCATATCAAACTTGTCTTTGACTATTATGATAATGACTCTTTTACTGGAAGGTTTTTCACACACATACACACACACACACACACACACATGCATGTACACAGATCTGGAGAGCAAAGCAAGGTGTCTCAAAGCCCAATTTGTCTTTCTATTAAATTATGTGAAAACTTCTATGAAAATACAGAGACAGGGAAAGCTCCTGGCTTAATTGAATCAAAATAGGCCTTCGTGCAATAGAGCAAAGCCAGAAGGAGCTAATGCCCCGTATTTCTCAGTGGTAGGAATTTTCATGACATGCAACCTGTTTGAGCTTTTTTTTTTTTTGCATGATCACAACGAGTTTATCTTAATGGGAGGGAGGGGTCCATAAGAAAGGGTTAGAGGATTGACTCTCCCAACTCAAACTATAAAGGCCATCATCAAGGCTGAATGTAGATAGACTTGGCTCTTCACAGCAATGCAAGAGTCTAAGACAACTCGACTCCTGATGGAAACTGCTATCCACATCCAGAGAAAGAAACATGGAGTCCAAATGCAGATGGAAACACACTATTTGCTCTCCTTTTCCCTTGTTGTTTTGTTTTATTGCTTCATTCTCATGGCTCCTCCCACTAATTCTAATTGTTCTTTATATCATGACCAATGGGAAAATATGCTTACTTATGAATGTATAAGTACAGCCTATATCAGATTGCATGCCATCCTGGGTGGAGGTCTGTTTTGGGCTTTTTAAAGTAACTCTTTTCTTATAAGACCACCCAATCCAGCCCTCTTTGTAGTTGTGATCACCAAACCAGGTGATACATAGCAACTGCAGCATTCTTGTGATGTTGAGTTAAATCAATTCTCAGAGCTCAATAAACATAACAAGATTTTTATTGCTAGGATTGCCTTATAGGAAGGTTACCAAGGTTAAGCTTGGACAAATATATAAAAAATACAACTCATTGTACACGCACGTCATTTTCTCAAATAAGCAAATATACAGAAGATTTCCTGGCAATCCTTCTCCTCCCCATCCCATCTTATCACTGCACATGCACATTTCATGGGCAGCAACTGCATTTATTCGATCCTCCTTTGCAAATACAGCCTTGGGCACATTTGGCACAACCAGGTGGGCAGCAGGGACAGCAACCTGAAAGGGGATGGAAAAAAAAAAGCAGATCTCAGCCTTGGGTCAGTCTTTCCACTCAGCCTTGGGAAGGAAATGTCTGTTCTTAGGGGAATCAGGGCTTAAAATGTGTGTAGGAAAAGGCATGGGAACAGTTCCCCTGAATTGAACACTAATTAACCTGATGACATCCCAACCCTGACCTTGACTCCCTACCTGTGACCACTCAAACTATTACTATGATCTTTACTTCTGACCTTTACTTCCCAAGAATGCTCATGACCCCTTACTAGAAATTCACAATTAAAGAAGTAAGGGAGAGGAGACCACTAATCAAAACTTGCATTTCCTAGTCGAGCATCATGATTCAAACCTCAGAATCTCCCAAGCAGAACACAATTCTGATCATGATTCCTCCAACCACAACCTCACCATGCCCTCAATCCCTGATCATGATCCCCTCAGTCTGACCATGACACTTCTATCTTGCCTATAACTTCCAAATCTTAACTATGTATCCCCAATAACCATTCACATATTATGTCATCTTAAGATTTACAAACTACTTTCCAGTCCTGATTGTGACCTCCCCAAAACTGACTGTGACCCCTCCTCCAGCTTTGACCTTAACTCCTTTCCCCAAAATTCTGACTATTGCCCTTTCCTGTCAATCCCTGTTTTACCACTACTACTACCACTACCACCATTTTGGGTTTTGGGGCAAGAGTGACAGTGAGTAGAAAAAGGGAGGAGAGATAAAGGAGGATTGGTCCAGAACAGATTATATCTAGTCAAAAGTGCCAATAAGAAATGTAACCACCAAGGAGAACTGAAGGTCATTTGGGCCCAATTTCCCTTCCACTTCTAGTACAAAAGGAAATATAGGTATCTTCAGTTTGGCTGGGACTTGGGGGCAAGGGAGAGGAAACATGGATATCTGTGTTCTTGTTTTCTGATTGGCTCATATTTCAGTCCAACACTTCTGAGGCCTATGAAAAACATTACAGGGACTATGCCCAAAGGGCTATAAAACCATGCATACCCTTTGACCCATCAATACCACTACTAGATGTATTTCTCAAAGAGATAATAAAAAAGGAAAAGGACCTATATGTACAAAAATATTTATAGCTACTCTTTTTGCGGTGGCAAAGAATTGGAAATTAAGGGGATGTCCATCAATTGAGGAATAGCTGAACAAGTTATAAGATTGTGATGGAATATTATTGTTCTATAAGAAATGATGAGCAGAATGGTTTCAGAAAAACTGGGAAGACTTACATGAACTGATGCGGAGTTAAGTGATCAGAACCAGGAGAACATTGTACACAGTAACAATAATATTGTATGATAATCAATTGTGAATGACTTAGCTATTCTCAGCAATACAATGTTCCAAGACAATTCTGAAGAACTTATGATGAAAAATGCTATCCATCTCCAGAGAAAGAACTTATGACATCTGAAGGCAGATCAAAACATACTTTTTTTAAATAATAAATTTATGTATTTATTTTTAGTTTTCAACATTCACTTTCATAAAATTTTGAATTCCAAATTTTCTCCCCATCTCTCCCTTTCCGCCACCCCAAGAGAGCATGTAAATTGATATAGGCTCAACATAGACATTCATATTAAACCTATTTTCACATTAGTCATGTTGTAAAGAAGAATTAGAACCAATGGGAGAAACTATGAGAGAGAAGAAACCAAAAAAAAAGAGAGCAAATATGTCAAAGCATTCTTTTTAAAACTTTGTTTTTCTTGGTTTTCTTTTTTTGTTTGTTTTGTTTTTTGCTTAGGTGATAGGGGTTAAGTGACTTGCCTAGGGTCACACAGCTAGTAAGTGTTAAGTGTCCGAGGCTGGATTTGAACTCAGGTCCTCCTGAGTCGAAGGCCAGAGTTCTATTTACTGTGCCACCTAGCTGCCCCTTTGGGGGTTTTTTTGGTCTGTGTTTTCTTTCACAACATGACTTATATGGAAGTATGTTTTGCATGACTATGTATAACCTCTATGAAATTGCTTGCGGTGCAATAGATGTGGGGAGGGAGAGAAATAATTTTGAACTCAAAATTTTGAAAAAGGAATGTTAAAAATGTTTTTACATGTAATTGGGAAAAAATACCAAACAAATAGTTTTAAAAAGAAAGAAAGGAAAACATTCCAAGGATCTCTGCTTCATTCTTGCTTTGGGGGGAGGTCACACAAAAAAGTTCCAGGGAATTAAGGAAGGAAGCAAGGAGGACAGAGGGGGAGAAGAAAGGAAGGAATCATTTCTATCTTTTTTTCCCATATTAAGCCATCATTTTCTAGCATCATATTTGGGTGAAAAGGGGAATTAGAAGCAGTTTCATACAGAGGAAGTCAAAGATGAGAAATCGTGGCTTCCAAGAGAAAAAAAAGAATGGAATATCAGAGCTGGAAAGGACCTTAGAGGTTACTAACGTAAAATCCCCTCGTCCTACAGAGTAGACGATAAGACCTAGAGAGGAGAAATGACTTGCTGGTGTTACGTAGCAAAAGAGTGGAAGAAATGGAATTAGAATGTAGATCTTCCTCTCTACTAGGTTATACTGCAAATGAACCACACAAGGATATAACTGAGTCTACACTGGGCCTTTGGACTATGCACCCAGAATTAATTGGCAAAAGGGACCACATATGGTTCTGTACTCACTTTTCCGACATGTCTTACAGCTACAGGACGTACATTTGCAGTTATCACCACAGATGCAGATTCCTCCTGTAAGAGACCACCAAAAGCATCAGCCATGAGATCAGCTGCCATTCTCTGAGCCAACTTGGGTCCCCATTATGGTCATACATGCTGCAGGGTCTGGGGCATTTTCTGAAGAACAGCAATGCCCAATGGAGAACTGGGTGCCCCAGGCAAATGAGGGTAACAGCCCATTTATGTGCAGAATATTAGCTCTCCCGAGTCCCATATGCTGCTGAATAAAAAAAAAACCTCAAAAGGTTCCTGTTATCATCTCATTTCAGACCACTCAACTTCAGGAGCGAAGAATTAGGTTGGATGAAATCCACAATGGAATCTACTCTCAGCATTGGCTTGGGGAGTCAATGATATCCTGCCCACATCATTCATTCATTCATTCATGCAAACAATGATTAAACATCTACTGTGTGCAAGGCGAGGCATTGGACTAAGCAAGCAGCAGAAACCCAAAGATGAAAATGACAGTTGTTACCCTCAAACAGCTTCATTTCTATGGGGGTGGAGAGCAAGTAGCCAAAGAGAAGGGGGAGGGCCCTTCAACATGAACACAGATAAATGTAACCCAAGCTGGGGAAATGAGGAGTGCAAAGGAGAGAGCTAGACAGGTCTGAGAAAATTGAAGTAGATGGAAGACACTAACACATTATCTAAAAGTTGTGATATAAAGGAGGGATAAAAAGAGGAATTCCGTAATCTCACTGCAGAAAATTGCCATATATAGTACGTTAGATGTCATATATACATATATATGCATACATATACACATACATACATAGATCTATATATAATATATATCATATATATATATATATATATATACATACAGTGTTTTAATGCCATAAAAGCCACAAATTCATATTTTCTCATTATACCTTGGGTAAATCTTGAATTTTAACCAATAAAAACCTTTGTACCTTATCTAAGTCAGCCAATAAAGGTCACAGTCATGGTTCAAGGGGTCCTGGGCAGGGAGTCTAGCTGTCACATCTCACCTTGGAATAAACTTGTTCTTGTTATTATTCTAACAAAAACTTTAAAAACCTGAGTTTTCTTGAGATCCTTGCCTTTGTAATATTGCAAACAAATGGGGTGGTTTTGAACATTGTCTCCTCTGATCCTACCTGCCCATACCACTGTTATCCTGTGAGAGCAAGCAAAGTTTAATCTTGGAGCTCTAGAATCTACAAATGCTTACAATGTCTGCTTACATGTGTAACTGGGGCTCATTGGGTCCCTCAGGAAACTTACACACACTGAGTCTGTGGGATAGCAAAATCACAGCATCTCTGGATCCCTGAGAAAGCATCCCTGTCATCTGAGGTCTGTACTGAGGTTAGGGGGGCCATAAAATCTATGCATGAGAACCATACAAAGTGGAAAAGCTTAAGGCTAAAGTCCTTATTCCTCCAATGTGAGACAAACGTCAGGAAACTTAGCAATATCCTTAGTGGAAAAAGGGAAAGGAGACTCTCCCCATGCCTCAGTGAGTCCACCAAAGCCCAGCCTCACTTACCAGACATACAAGTACACTCTCCAGGGTCCATGGCCTCAAACAGGTGGAGTGAGCTCAAACAGGGAAGAGGAGAAGGGATGCTAAGTCTGGAGTCCCAGAGGTTGCCCTATTTATAGCAGTGTAGGTGTGAGTGTGGGGACCCACCCTTCCCCACCCTGGAGCAAGACGCCCTGCACACGGCCCTGCTGAGACACCTGTTGGGGGTGAAGGGCCATACAGTTTAGTCATGTGGTTTTCCCAGAGAGGGAGAGGTGAAGGGGGGAGGGAGGCAGAGCTGGCAGAAGAATTCAAGCTTGCCATCCAGTATTTTATTTTATTATATTTTTTGCTAGGGGTGCAGGTGACTTGCCTGTTCTGACTATATACTTTCCACTGCATCATGGAAACTATGCAGTCTGATAGTAGAAATTAAGGAACTCATATTTTGGCTCAGAAAATGCGCACCTTTTTTGCAGTCTTTTTGTATAGCTATCTATTTACTTATCTATCATCTATCTCTGTAACTATTTACTTACCTACATTTATCTATCTATCTATCTATCTATCTATCTATCTATCTATCTATCTATCTTTCTATCTATCCATCTATCCTCAAACCTAGGTCTTTAGATTCCAAGTCCTGTGAGCTTTCCATCATAACTTGTGACCCCCTGCACCCTGTGATATCTCTCCATTATTATAGAGGCATTTGGTGGCATCTGGGCCTGGAGTCAGGAGAACCTGAATTCAGGTCAGATCTCAGACACTTACTAGCTGTGTGGCCCTGGACAAGTCATTTTTTTTTTAAATTGATAGCTTGGATTTCTTTTAAATTTATTTATTTTTAGTTTTCAACATTCACTTCCACAAGATTTTGAGTTCCAAATTTTCTCCCCATCTCATCCCTCCCCATACCCCAAAATAGCATGCAATCTGAATACCCCTTCCCCTAATTTGCCCTCCTTTTTATCTCTTCCCCCTGCCTTCTCTTATCACCTTCCCCTTCTATTTTCCTGTAGGGCAGGATAGATTTCTATACCCCACTTTCTGTATTTCTTATTTCCCAGTTGCACATGAAAGCAATTTTTTAACATGTACTTTCATCCCTTTGGACGAGTCATTTAACCTCTGTTTACCTCAGTTTTTCCAACTGTAAAATGAGGTTAATAATAGCACCTCCCTCAAAGTGTTGTGAGGATCAAATTAGATAGTATTTGTAAAAGTACTTAACACAGTGGATGGCATATAGTAGGTGCTAAATAAATGTTTTCCCTTTTCTTCCCCCATTAGCCTTAGGATTTTCCCATACTCTGTTTACCTTCCCTGATGACTAGAAATCATAAAACAAAACAATTCATACAAAGGTATAATTGACTAATAAGGGTTTAATGTATTATCCCTCCCAAAGGATTGAGCATTTTAACAGGGGATAGTAACTTTAACTCAAAGGAAAGGACTTTTAATGGTAGAATTTTAGGTATTAGTAATTGGCCTGTGGGTAGGAAGATATCACCACTGTAGCCCGTAGTAGGCAGCTAAGTATCCTGTCTATATTAAGGGTTAACACTGCTGATTACTGCCCTCCTTACTCTTCTCCTGCTTTTATCTCACTATGATGAAATGGGATGAGTGATGATGTCACCCTGTGTTACCATCACTCATTCTCTTGGATATCTCTTCTGTGTAAACCCTATCTTCTGGAACAAAAAGCATTACTAACCTGTCCTTAGAAGTACCTACTACAAAAGAAAAATGAGCAATTACTTTTTTTTTCCAGGAACGTTATAATGAAACAACTTTTCTATTACTGTAGGTATAAATTGTTTGTGTTATTATTAGTTTAGGGCCAAACCATTACTAGAATAGGAGTAACTGATCTTTGTTCCAGAGAAGAATCACCAGAAGCACAACCAGAAAGACTATTGCAGCCCTACCATACTGTAGAGATGGCCCAGGGAGGAGAGAACTGCCCAAGCTGGGTCAAACAAAATTAGGCTTCGTTGAAAATTCTGCATTTTTGTATCTGGCTTTATTTTATTTGGTGTTTCCTCTTAATTCATCAATTAATTTTTCTAACCCTGACAGCAGATCCCAGAAAAGATTTATGTGTGCCCTGGGTCAAAGTTTTGTGTCCCTGACTAACACAAGTCCTAGAGTAGGACAGGAACTGAGATATTTAATGCGATTCACTCACTTTATAAGGGAATAAACTGAAGTCCTGAGAGGTAAACTAGCTTTCCTAAAGTCACACTGAGGATTAGTAGCAGAGTCAAGATTTAAGGGCAGCTAGGTGGCATAGTGGATAGAGTGACAGGCCTGCAGTAAGGAAGACTCACCTTCCTGAATTCAAAAAAGGCTGCAAACACTGGGCAAGTCACTTAATTCTATTTGCCTCAGTTTCCTCATCTGTAAAATGAGCTAGAGAAGGAAATGGCAAACCATTCCAGTATCTTTGCCAAGGAAACCCCAAACAGGGTTGTAAAAAGTCAGACGTGACTGAATAAGATTTTAACTCGGGTTCTATGGCTACAAATCTAGTGTCCTTTTTTTTTTTTTACTATAGCACAGAAAGGTTGAAATATTTGCTCTAATATACATAGCCTCACTTATTATAGAATAAAACCTATGCTCTATAGATAGGGAGATTTTCCAGAATTAAAAATATATGCATTTTTAAAAATCTAAAACATGTCATTAATTGCAAAATGTAGTGGCTAGAGAGCTGGCCTTTGAGCCAGAAAGACTTGGGTATGTGCCTCTGACACATACTGGCTGCATGACCCTGGGTATGTCATTTAACCTCTTAGTGCCCTAGGCAATTCTCTCAGACAATTAAAAGCAGAGAAGGTGCCCACTTGCCTTGGTAGAGGGAATTTTCTTCACTTAGAAGCTCCCTATATCAATGAAATAATAGATGCAGCTCCTGCATTATCCCTCATTATGCCCTCTATGTGTTATATTCTAGGTCGCTGCTGCCTACCTGGTGTACCCCTAGCCCTAATTCAGAAAAGGAGGGTTTGCTCAAACTAGGACCAGTTATGGGGGAGACTCAGGCTCCCTCAGGAACCACCTAAAGCTTTCAGAAAAGAAGAGAGGAGAAGAATAGCCCCTGGAGAAGAGTTTGATTGGGGAGGGGTTAGGGGAAGTTCAGCAGTGGAAGTGATTTCTAGCCTCCTGGAGCTATGGGTTCATGTTGTCCTGATGGAGAACTGTTCAGTGGCATTCTGGTACTTTGGTTTCCCAGCCCAAGAGCAAGATGATGGATTGAAAACAGCGTCCTGTTAATTAGGACAAGCCTCGGTGTGCTGTGCCTGGCTGTTTAGTCAGCAAATTTAACAGACTCTCAAGAGGCCCTATTGCTGTCTTTTAATTATATGGGGCTTCAACTCCTTGGCTATAATTTAGTACCTACCAAGCAAGTGAAGACCTTAGTTTTGCATACAGCCCAGAGGAGATATGAATAAGTCTGAAGCTAGACAAATACATTCATTCATCCGTCTCAGCCAGTAGCTAAGAACTCTGATGTACATTCTCCAGGATCACAGATTGGGCTATCAGATGAGAAATCCATGCTCCCTATCTGCTTACAGGATGGAAGGAAGGCCAGGGGCCAAGAGACAGGACAAAGAGATTCACAGTTACCAAAAAATAATTTTTTAAAATTATATTATCTTGTTCAGTGACTGTGACTGTGGGAGCTCTCTCTTTCCAAATATTCAGTGTCTTTCCAAGCCATAGTTTGGGCCAGTCTGGTGCAAATGCCCTTTGAGATGTCTGAATGAATTGAAAGTGCTCAGAGCCATTATTAGAATGGGGCAATCATGGATTTCTCTCTAGGGTACTGAAATTTGGAAGGTGTTGATGGCACAGATTTTTATTTAAGTCACAATAGGAGCAACTGAATTGAAGTTAGCAAGAAAAATTAGTCCAAGTAAGAAGCTACCAGTTCAAGATATCTCACTGAAGCAAATCAAGTGAAGTCCTTCTCCCCACTGGAATGGCCTTGCTATGTTTCATTTCCCCAGGTGGAAAGACTGCTATTTCCCAGGGTCCTTATGTTAGTCCATCACTCTGTCCTCTGTACCCAACTGAATTTGCCTTAAAAATTCAATTTAAGGCATTCACGCAGCTCGCACCAAATGTATTTTATGAAGCTTGTACTGGGTGTGAAAAATGCTAGTTATGGCTCTGAAATTATGTTTCCAATACAAGAAGGCATTCTGCTAGAATGGAAGGAGAAGTAGTGAAGGAATCAGGAGAACTGGGCTCTAATTTGATCTTGAGCAAGTTATTTCCCTTCTTCTCTGAGCCTGAGTTTCTCTCTTGTAAAATAGGGAAATTGGACAAGATGACCTCTAAATCATGTGCATGACCTCTACATTCTATGATATTTTTCACTGGTTTACCACTAGAGCAGGTACTTTGAGATATTTTTCTATTATGGGGATGTGTTGTGTTGACCTGTCTGTGTCCTCACTCGTATTCCAGCATTTTGGGATGGAGTGGTGGATTGAGATTAGGACCCTGGGAAATAGCAAAACCATTTCACCTGGGAAAATGAAACACAGCAAGGCCATTCACTTGATTTGCTTCAGTGAGAGCTCTTGAACTGGTAACTTCTTATTTCAACAACTTTTTTTTTGCTAATTAAGTATTAAGTTCAGTTATTCCTATGCTGCTAAAACGCCATAGAACTGGTAATAAGCATAGTCAGTACAGCAGCGCCTGTCTGTAGCTGTGGAACAGAGCACAGCTAACTAGGCCACCTGAAGATCCGATCTGTTCTCTTGGCCTTTAGATAACCATCCCCACTGCTCTCAGTTACTAGTTAAATGAGTTCTCCCTCATAATTCTCCTTGAAGCTATTTGTAGGTGGTTGTCATGGTTATATTTGTTATCATTACCCCTGAATCCACCATTAGGAAAGCTGTTTTTCCATTCAGGAGTCAGAAGGCCTGCTACTTACCACCTTAGTGATCTTGAGTAAGGCCTTTCACTTAATTGTTCTGGACCTCAGTTTGCACATCTGGGGAATTTAAAGATCACGAATGA